TAGTTATGAAGTTATAGATGTGTAATTATGGATGTGTAGTGTGAGCATATAGCCATTAACGTGCAATCCAACTATTAGCTTAAGCTTTTAGTTGAGATGGAGCACATACTTCAGTTTGGTATCAGAGTCAAATCAAAGGTCATGGGTTCAAATCTCAACGCTTACGGTTTACCGGTCTATCCAATTACCAGCTAATTCTGAATGTAAAACGACGTTGTTTTGCAACCGTGTGCACCATGCAGGTACACACGGTTGCACAGCATAACGACTCCTCAATCTCCCCGGCCATATTTTGCTTCAGTTGTAATACAGTGGACCATGGTCCATAGTGCTATGTGGATCATGATTGTCAAAGGAAACTGTAGTAAAATTAAAATGATACTTTAGTGTTATTAGTATGAAACTAGTGTGTGTGAAAAATGAAACTAAAAAACAGTGCTCATTCAACAACGTATTGTCAAATGAAACTGTAGTATAATTAAAATGATACTTTAATGTTGTTAAAATGAAACTAGTGTGTGTGGAAAATGAAACAAAAATTCAGAACCATACAATAACATATATTGTCAAATGAGCGTGGAGTGTAATTAAAACAATACTTTAGCATTATTATATCCACATCTACAATCTACATCTACAATTCTAATAAGAGCCAATAATGTTAGGCCCTTAACTGGAACAAAAAAAATGTCGGTCCTTTTGTTTCTTAAAATGAATGATTCATATTATACTATTGTTTCTTAAAATGAATGGTTCATATTATTTTTGTTTTAGTATTTTTTATTGATTTTCCTTATTTACCCTCTATTATATTATTTTCTTTCCTTAAATAACTTAAATTCCGTTAGCATAAACTTTAGTAACGGAATATTCCGTTAAGTATTTATTATTTTAACTTACACATTAATTTCTATAAGAAAAGTCTTAGTTTCGAACCACATCCCAATTAGAGTTGGCATAATTGTTAAACATATACTACGAATATGTTAAAATATATTTAAAATATATATAATATAAAATTTAACATAAATGTTGTTCAAATATTTAGTCTGACTAAATACATAACATTCAAAGTTAAGCATCAAAGATTATAAATCAAGAACTTTAAAAATCATTTGATCAGAAAAAAAAAATTAATATTCTTTTAATTATTTAGATCAGAAAAAAACGTAATATTTCAATTATACTTTTGCATTAATATTTTTTGTATGTATTTTAAAAAAAAAAATCAATGATTGCATTATTGTTGATGAAAAGTATATACGCCACTTTATTACTCTTATTAAACTAAATAAAGTAGTAGCTACAACAAAAAATAATAATGTATTATGCATTTAATTAATTTAGAATTAGGTGTCTATAATGTCTTTATTTAAAAAAAAAATTATTCATTATAAAAATTTAAAAATAGATATAATTTCATTAGTTATATTATCTATATTTTTTACAATTCAAAGATTCATTACCTTCAAATTTATCAATTTATTATATTCACTGCATCGTCCATTGTCTTCTTTTTACATTATCTTGTAATTAAATATCAAAGTTATAATACAAAATACATTATATATATTTATTTACCAAGTATTTTATACAAATATAATAAATATTAATATTTTGTTCAATATTTCACATGATAACCTACGACACGCATCTCACAATGCATGAAACGTGTAGGGGAAAACTACCACTACCAAATATCGATTAGAAAATTCAATAAATATTATCTTGCATTTATATATTTTGAATTACCGATTTAAATAAACAAATTCAATATTTATTTACATATGCATGAACATCTCCGATATGCATGTCCACCTTGCAAGGTGGACACGGTTCCATAGCATAATTTGCCCACTTTATTGCTCTTAAACTAAATAAAGTAGTAGCTACAACAAAAAATAATACATATGCATTTAATTAATTTAGAATTAGATGTATATAATGTCTTTATTTAAAAAAAATTATTCATTATAAAAAATTTAAAAATAGATATAATTTCATTAGTTATATTATCTTTATTTTCTACAATTCAAAGATTCAATACCTTCAAATTTATTAATTTATTATATTCACTGTATTGTCCATTGTCTTCTTTTTACATTATCTTGTAATTAAATATCAAAGTTATAATACAAAATACATTATATATATTTATTTACCAAGTATTTTATACAAATATAATAAATATTAATATTTTGTTCAATATTTCACATGATAACCAACGACACACATCTCACAATGCATGAAACATGTAGGGGTAAACTACCACTACCAAATATCGATTAGAAAATTCAATAAATATTATCTTGCATTTATATATTTTGAATTACCGATTTAAATAAACAAATTCAATATTTATTTACATATGCATGAATATCTCCGATATAATATTGCGTTGATATACTTTGAAATACTTAAAAATAATCATTGCGCATTATCCCTGATGGGGTGAGGACCCCGGCCCAAGAGATAGGGGCCCAAAGAAAATAGATAGGAGAAGTGGGCCAGCGTCGAGAGGAGCCCGAAGAGCAATTGGGCCGAGTCCGGGAGTCGGCCCAGGCCCAAGCACGGGCGCCCAGTTCAGAGCTGCTAAGAGGAGTCCAGTAGGAGCTTAGGCCGAGACAAGGAGTCGACCGAGGCCCAAGCCCAGGAAAGGACTCGGCTCAAGGAGCCGTTGAGAGCATTGAAGAGGTTCGTTTAAAAGGGAGCCGTTAAGACATTGAAAGCAGGACTCGGTCGGGCCGTTACAAGCCTGGGAGAGCCGTTGGTCGACCGAGTAATGGCGTCCAACGGCTCCGTATCTTAATTAGCCTTGAAGTTGGCCATTAAAGGCCTTCAAGTCGGTAGAGGAGGAGCCACTATATAAAGGCTCATCCATTCTTGTAAAAGTACAGACGATTGAACACCCAGAGGGGGAGAATACCAAAAAGGTTCCGAGTACTCGCATTATCTCCGAGATAGGCATACATTTTACTGAAAGGTGCACCCACTAGCCAAAGGTTGTGTTGGACCTCCTTGGGCCCGAAAACCCTAAAACCATCACTGGCGCCGTCTGTGGGGATCGAAACTAAGAGTCACGTGTCCTCTTGAGTGAGGCAAGTCCGAGGAATGACAATTAGAATCCCAGTCGAATTAGAAAAGCTCCAGACATGGCAGGAAGTGAAGAACAATCGAGCCGTCATGACAATGGACGGGAAGCAGACCTGAGAAGCCAGCTGAATCGGAGAAATGCCCGGAGCCGGGAAAACGAGACAACACCGTCGCCGACACCACCGATAAACCAACAATTGCGCCAAGTGCTGCTCACCCCAGAGCAGCTGCGTGCAATCAGACGCGCCTGCGCCGAAGCAAGCCTAGGAGTGAGAGAACAGTCCATCACTCGCCAGCCGCAACGCGAGTTACAGCCGCTTCATAGGCCCGACAACCGGCAACAGAGCCGACGTGCCGAAAGCCAACCGGTACAGTCCGTTCATTCTCGGCTGGGTCCCAGCGTTGGGCGTCGGTCAGCAAGAGAACGATTGGGTCGGATGGAACCCAGTCATGCCCCGTTAGCCGCTCGCCATCGACAAGCTGCACGAGAGAAGAACCGTACCAAAAGAGCCAGGACTGAGACTCGTCGCGTGGAGCAACCTCCACACAACCCCGACCAACCGGCTGAGTCTGAAATCGGTGAGAGCACGGAATCCACAGGAAATCGCACCCGGGAGAGGGTCGAAGTGGCGAACTTAGTGCAAGAAGTGCGAAATCTGAAAGAACAGATGGAGGGGAAAACCAAATCCCCAGGACGTACGTTACTGACCGCCTTACCCTTCTCGGACGAGGTTAGGGCTTTTAAGATACCGGGTGATTTCAAGTTCCCGGAGTAGGCCACGTTCGATGGAACCGGCGATCCCCGGGAGCATTTGCTGAGCTACCAGGCTAAGATGCAGGTTTTGGAGGTACGAGATCCGGTCATGTGCCGCGCTTTCTTGCCCACGTTGAAAGGGTCAGCACAAAGGTGGCTAGTGGCACAGCCCTCGGGATCGATTCACAACTTTGAAGAGCTGGCAGACCGCTTCATGAGCCATTATGCCGCTAATATCAAACCACAAAAAGACCTAACACACTTGGGCGACATTCGTCAAGATGAAGTCGAGTCCTTGAAAGCCTATCTGGCCCGCTGGCAAAAAGAAATCCAGTCCATAGAGGAGGTCGAGGACCAGACGGCGCTCACCTTCTTCATCGAGTCCTTGCGGTCCGGCCAGCTATACCGAGACCTGAGGGACAATCGCCCGGCCACCTACGCAGAAGCCATTCATATGGCCAACAAGAGGGCCAACACGGAGCAGGCTATGAAGTATAAGCGGCAGCGCGAAGTCGGCGGATCCGCCAGCGGGAAGAGGACGCGAGCTGAAACCAAGGAGAGGCGCCCAGATGTAGCTCGGCGACCCGAGGGCAGACGGCCGTACGACAGACCCGTCGTCCACGCTTATCGGCCGATTCCCGAACGTCCGGTCCATGAGATACAAACGGTTGCCCCGCCTCTGCCTCCGCCGACCGACGATCGCCCGACGAACGAAGAAATGGGTAAGACCTCTAAGTATTGTCGTTATCATAAATCTTATACTCACAGCACGGAGGAATGCTTCTACCTGAAGAAGATCATGGAGGGTATCATTCAGCAAGGAACCCCGCCTCCTAATCAGTGGAGGCGGAGATCGGTCAATCGGGGGGATGAGGATCCCGCCGCCGTTGCCGAAAACAGTCGAGGCAAGCAGCCGACTCCCGAAGAGGAGGAGGCTCAGTGGCGTCAGAAGCCGGTTATCAACATGATAGTCGGCGGGCCGGAAGGTGGTGACTCAACGAACACCAGAAAAGCCTGGGCCCGCTAGTTATACGTCAGAACGGTGTACGGGCGCGAGGGGAACCCTAAAAAGGTGTGCCGAGAGCCCATTGTGTTTACCGACCGAGATTTACCAGCCAGTGAAACACCGCATCGAGATGCGTTGGTTATAGTTATGGACATCAATGGCGTTGTCGTTCGACGAATCCTGGTAGACACCGGAAGCAGCGTCAATGTGCTGTACCTAGAAACCTTCATCAAAATGGGAATGACTTGGGAACAGCTGAGTCCTGTCAAAACTCCCCTCACCGGTTTCACAGGGGACTCGGTGGAGGCGGAAGGATCGATCACACTTCCAGTTGAGATCGGCAGTTGCTTAGACGTACAGAGACTCAGCATGAAGTTCATTGTGGTGAATCTGGCCTGTTCACATAACGCTATACTCGGCTGACCGGGTCTCGAGGATCTAGGAGCGTTGATTTCAATTGAGCATCTTTGTTTAAAATTCTGCATGCCAAACGGAATAGGCACGGTGCGCTGTGACCGTAAGGTCGCCCGCGACTGCTACCTACAGGCATGTAAGGGGATGAGCAAACGCGAGATACAGGTCCATGAGATCGCAGAGAGGCCCCCAAAAAGGACGATAATACCACGTCCGGAGCCTGCCGTCGAGTTGGAAGAAGTCGAGATCGACTCCACGCAGCCGGACCGACGAGTCCGAATTGGAGTCGGCCTCCCCGAGGAAGTAAAGGAAGAAATTATAAAGGTGCTCCGGGAACAGCGGATGGTCTTCGCCTGGTGCCCGGAGGACATGCCAAGCGTCGACTGATCGATCATATCGCACAGACTCGCTGTGGATCCCGGGCATCGACCGGTTGTGCAGAAGAAGCGATACTTGGCCAACGACCGAAGAGAATTTGTGAAGAAGGAAGTGAGCACGCTACTCGCAGCCGGACACGTCCGCGAAGTTAAGTACCCGAAGTGGTTGGCGAATGTGGTCCTTGTACCCAAGCCCCCGGCGTGGCGGATGTGCATGGACTACACCGACCTTAATAAGGCCTGCCCAAAAGATCCGTTCCCCTTACCTCGGATCGATCAACTGGTCGACGAGACGGCGGGGTCGGCGCTGTTGAGCTTTATGGACGCCTTTAGGGGGTACCATCAGATATTCATGCACTCGGCGGACGAAGAAAAGACCGCGTTTCTGACACCGAACGGAGTTTATTGTTACCGAGTCATGCCATTTGGGCTCAAGAACGCCGGAGCCACGTATACCCGAATGGTGGCCCGATTGTTTTAGCACCTGCTGGGAAAATCGATGGCCGCGTACGTCGACGACATGCTCGTCAAGAGCCGAGAGGAGAGCAAACACGCAGAAGACTTGGCCGACTGCTTCAAAGTAATGTTAAGGTACAACCTCCGGCTGAACCCTAAGAAATGCGCGTTCGCCGTGCAAGGTGGAAAGTTCCTGGGTTACATGGTCACCAAGCGAGGTATCGAGCCTAACCCTGAGAAAGTACAGGCCATCGTCGACATGCAGCCTCCCAGCACTATAAAAGACCTGCAACGGCTGACCGGCCGATTGGCCGCCCTTAGCCACTTCCTAAGCAAGGCGGCAGATAAGACCGTGCCCTTCTTCGAAGCCATGAAGAAGAAGGAAGGATTCGCTTGGACCCCGGAGTGCCAGCAGTCGTTTGAAGAATTGAAACAATACCTCTCGACACCCCCGGTATTGTCTACCCCCCAGGCGGGCGAGCCCTTGTTTCTGTACTTAGCCGCCTCTTGCAAGGCGGTGAGTTCGGTGTTGGTCCGAGAGGAAGAGCGAGTCCGGCACCCGGTTTACTACGTAAGCCGGTCTCTGAAGGCTGCCGAGTCAAGGTATACCGCCTTGGAAAAAATTGTATACGCGTTGGTGATTACCGTGCGCAAGTTGGCGCCCTACTTCCAAGCCCACACCATCCGAGTACTAACAGACCAACCTCTCGGAAGTGTTTTGCGAAACCCATCGTCGTCCGGCCGCCTGGTAAAATGGGCCGTAGAACTAACCCAATACGGGATTGAATACCAGCCCCGGCCTTCCATAAAGGGTCAGGCCTTGGCCGATTTCTTGGTCGAATGCACCGCGAGTGAGGAAGAAAAGGAACGCGCCGTGGAGAGCTGCCTAGGCGAATGGTGGGAAATGCATGCGGACGGAGCATCAAGTCGACAGCACTGCGGAGGAGGTGTTGTGCTCATCACCCCCGAAGGATTCCGACTGTATTACGCCCTGAGCTATCTGTTCCAAGCCTCCAACAACGAGGCCGAGTACGAAGCTGTGTTAAACGGCCTCCGAGTCGCCAGGGCCTTAGGGGTCGAGAGGTTACGAGTCAAGACTGACTCTAAGTTAGTAGTCGGGGAGATCTCAGGCACATGCGAGGCAAAGAATGCCCGGATGACTCTATATAGAGAACGCGCGGTTGAGATGCTAAAAGAGTTCGGAGCCTACGAAATAGAGTATATATCTCGAACGGATAACATAGAAGCTGACATATTGTCCAAGATTGCCTTGGAAGGAGTACCGGACCACCTGGTAAAAATCTGTCAGAAAGAGGAGCTAAGTCGACCAAGCATCGAAGAAGCACCGCTAAGGGTCCAGCAAGTGACTAGCGAGGAATGGGACCGAGAGAAAAATCCCGAGATGTTCTGGATAGAGGACATCCGGCGATTCATAGAAAAAGGCGAGTTACCGGAAGACCCGGGAGTCGCCGCGAGGGTTCGACGAAAGGCCCCCTCTTTCCAGATCGTTGATGGGCAGTTATATAAACGGTCGTTCGGAGGACCTTTGCTAAGATGTTTGCTCAGGCCCGAGGCCGAGAAAATAATAGACGAAGCCCATAGGGGCATCTGTGCCGCGCACCAGGGTGCCCACACACTCGCTCGGAAGTTAGTCGTCCAAGGATATTATTGGCCCACCATGATGCGAGACTGTATTGAATGGATATCCAAGTGCGGCGTTTGCCAGGCATTCGCCAAGAAAGATACTCGGCCAGCTACTTTTTACACGCCGGTCACCACCGCTATCCCATTTGCCAAGTGGGGGATTGATTTACTGGGCCCATTGCCAGTCGCCCCCGGAGGCTTGAAGTTCTGTGTCGTAGCTATCGACTACTTCACCAAGTGGGTCGAGGCGGAACCACTGGCCACCATCACCGAGTACCAATGCCGACGCTTTTTGTGGAAAAGGGTAATTTGCCGCTTCGGCCTGCCCGAGCACATCGTTAGCGACAACGGACGACAGTTCGATTGCCAGGCATTCACCGACTTCTGCCGCCGACATGAAATTCGCCACACTAAGGTGTCGGTAGCATACCCACAAGCCAATGGACAAGTCGAGAATGTGAACCGAACGCTAGTGGATGGAATTCGGAAGAAATTGGAAGACATTCGAGGGAATTGGGCGGATGAGCTTGACCGAGTCCTATGGGCTTATCGCACCATCCAACGACGAGCAACGGGAGAGAGTCCGTTCTCCCTCGCGTATGGCTTTGAGGCCAAGGTTCCAATTGAGGTGGTCGAGCCCACTCACCGGGTCCGTACCTATTCAGACACGGAGAACGAAGAGAGTCTTCGAATTGAGAAAAATTTCTTTGAAGAAAAGAGGAAAGCCGCGAGTGCGCGAATGGCTGAATACCAACAGGCGGTGAAAAGATATCGCGATCGGCGGATTCGTCCGCGAGCCTTCCAGGTCGGCGACCTCGTGCTACGGGATCGACAGGCCAGTCAACCCACAGAAGGGGGTAAGCTTGTGATCAAGTGGGAGGGACCATACCGCATCGCCGAGGTTGTCCAAGCGGGGACCTACAAACTGGAAACCATGGAGGGCAAGCCCGTGGATCGAATTTGGAACGTTATCCACCTGAAGAAGTTTTATCAATAGAAAGGGACAAAACATGTTTGGGCCCGCGGGTCTTGAAAGACTTGAATAAAAGTACGAGTTACGGTTAACCACTCCTGGGACCCGGCAAGAAAGAGTTAGGAAACAAGGGCCTAGACCCTTAGTCGTTTCCGTGAAAAAGCCAAAGAGGAGTCGCCTCGACTGAGGGACTCGGCGAGTATATAAAGAAACAATGGGGCACTGACCCTAAAACGTTTCTGAGAAAGTAAAAGCCTAAGGAGTCGCCTCGACTGAGGGACTCGGCGAGAAAGAGTTAGGAAACAAGGGCCCAGACCCTTAGTCGTTTCCGTGAAAAAGCCAAAGAGGAGTCGCCTCGACTGAGGGACTCGGCGAGTATATAAAGAAACAATGGGGCACTGACCCTAAAACGTTTCTGAGGAAGTAAAAGCCTAAGGAGTCGCCTCGACTGAGGGACTCGGCGAGAAAGAGTTAGGAAACAAGGGCCCAGACCCTTAGTCGTTTCCGTGAAAAAACCAAGAGGAGTCGCCCCGACTGAGGAACTCGGCGAGTATATAAAGAAACAATGGGGCACTGACCCTAAAACATTTCTGAGAAAGTAAAAGCCTAAGGAGTCGCCTCGACTGAGGGACTCGGCGAGAAAGAGTTAGGAAACAAGGGCCCAGACCCTTAGTCGTTTCCGTGAAAAAGCCAAGAGGAGTCGCCTCGACTGAGGGACTCGGCGAGTATTTAAAGAAACATCGGGGCACTAACCCTAAATGTTTCTGAGAAAGAAAAAGCCTAAGGAGTCGCCTCTACTGAGGGACTCGGCGAGAAAGAGTTAGGAAACAAGGGCCCAGACCCTTAGTCGTTTCCGTGAAAAAGCCAAGAGGAGTCGCCTCGACTGAGGGACTCGGCGAGTATTTAAAGAAACATCGGGGCACTGACCCTAAACGTTTCTGAAAAAGAAAAAGCCTAAGGAGTCGCCTCTACTGAGGGACTCGGCGAGAAAGAGTTATGAAACAAGGGCCCAGACCCTTAGTCGTTTCCGTGAAAAAGCCAAGAGGAGTCGCCTCGACTGAGGGACTCGGCGAGTATTTAAAGAAACATCGGGGCACTGACCCTAAACGTTTCTGAGAAAGTAAAAGCCTAAGGAGTCGCCTCGACTGAGGGACTCGGCGAGAAAGAGTTAGGAAACAAGGGCCCAGACCCTTAGTCGTTTCCGTGAAAAAGCCAAGAGGAGTCGCCCCGACTAAGGGACTCGGCGAGTATTTAAAGAAACAACGAGGCACTGACCCTAAACGTTTCTGAGAAAGAAAAAGCCTAAGGAGTCGCCTCGACTGAGGGACTCGGCGAGAAAGAGTTAGGAAACAAGGGGCCAGACCCTTAGTCGCTTCCGTGGAAAAAGCCATGAAGAGTCGCCTCGATTGAAGGGACTCGGTGAGCAATTAAAGAAACAAGGTTAAAGAAAAGGTGTCGAGCCCAAGATAATACGCAAAGGAAGAGAAAAAGGGAATTTTATTAAAGTTAAAAAAGGCCCGAGAAGGAGGCCAGCCTTTACAAAAGGGACTATCTCAAAAGAATAGCCCTAAACTACTGGGGAGGGGGTGTCGACATCAATCCCTTCGACTTGAGCCCCTGCCGTTGGTCCAGTCAGGGGAACAGAAGAAGGGTCCTCGGCCTGAAGAGAGGACTCGGCGAGCTCAGGAGGTGTTGCTGAAGGAAGAATCGTCGGATCAGAGGCTGCCGGAAGAACTGCCGGGTCCACAGTCGCCGACTGTCCTTCAGTCGCCGGAAGAGCATCTATCACGGGCTTGAGGCCCCAGCTCTCGGGAGTGAAAGAGGAGTCGCGGACCAGCAAGGCAGAATGGATCTCTGCCTACGCCTCGCGAAAGCCGAGGTGATAGTCACGCTCGCCCAAGTCCAGGAAGAACTCGTCACCGTCCAGTGTCGACAGCCAGTCCTTAGCAATTTCCTTTTGGCGAGCCTCTATCACCGCCTTCACCTCCGCTTCAAAGGCGGCCGACATCTTGTACTCCTCAACAGAGGTCGCCGCAATTGTCGCCACCTTGTCCCGCTCCTCCTCCCACTGACGGGTGACCCTCAACATCTCGGAATTGTGCACCTCCACCGCCTTGAGGTGCTTCGCCTGCTCTTCCAAAAAGGCCTACTCCGTCTGACGCAGCTTGAGGGCCATAGACCGCATTTCGGCCCTGTAGTTCTGCAGCCGCTTACTCATCTCCATCTGGAAGGTGAGGTTCTGCGAAACGGCCACGAGTCAGATAATAAAAGGAAAGAACGAATGAGAGGAATTAGATGGGAAACACTTACGCGGTACGACTGACGCATCGAGGCCTCGATGATGTACGCGTCCCCCAGAGCATGAGTCGCCTCCGCGTCCTTAGGCAGGAGGACGTTAGCACACCACTTACGGACGGAGGAGGCTCCCATCCAGATCTGGGCATCCTCTTCTACCTCATGGCACATCCGGATTCTTTTTGGAGCCGGCTCATCAGTTTGACCGGCCGGGCTCTTAGAGCTGGGGCTCTCTGTCTGAGGAGGAGGCGGCTGCCGAGTGGGCGACACCACTGGCGACGGAGTCAAATCCACCACATTTCGAGGTGGTGGGGGAGTCGGCCTGGGGGCAGGAGACGGTTGGGATGAAGAGGCAGCAACAGTGCCGGAAGTGCGCTGGGTCAGCCGACGCCTCATCTTTTCGGCTCTATCCGCCATCTCGGGAGTCGGTTCAGCCGCTTCGTCAGAGCTGGAGGAGTCGGAGTCGTATGGACCTGCGAAAAGGGGAGAAAAACCATGAGGTATTCCGAGTCGGAATGTGGCAAGATAAGAAAAGAAGAGGAACGAGGGGTAACGAGGACTACCTACGGTGGCCGCACCCTCCGGTAGCAAGCCACGCTTAGCCATGGCCCGGACTCGGGACCAGTACTTGACGGAGTACGGCCCAAAGCCCTTCAAGAACTCGCCGCCCAGGACCGCATCATCGGAAGGAACGGCACGTCGAGAGCAAGGCTTGAATAGAGCGGCCGGCCACAAGGTCGGAAAGGTGAAGGAAGAAAAAGCAGGGCGGACGAAGAAATAGAGGAGCTTCCAGTCCTTAATGGAATCGGACAGCCCCTCGAAAAGCTGCCGCACCGGGCGAGCGGCGACTTGAACGAAGCCCGGCGAGTGCGAGCCGACCTTGTTCACGGTGAAAAGATACCGGAACAGGTCTAGGTCCGGCTCGCACAACCACCAGTGGCAGAGGTTGACGAAGCAAGTGAGGAGTTGGTGAGAATTGGGCACTAGTTGGCCCGGAACTAAGTTGTAATGGTGGTAAAAAAGGGAAAGAAAAGGACACGGAGGAACCCGGAAGCCAAAGGCAACCGAGTGCAGGTGAATACCGACACAACCCTCGGGTGGGTCGTAAATTTGCCGGCCTTGCGGGGCGAGGACTACGGCCGAGGGCCCAAGAAGGTACTGGGCCATTTCCAGGTCCGCCGCAGTAATAACGGACGGTGGCCCGGAAGGGCGGACGATGGAATCGAACTTGCCCCGCGGCCGTCCGATGCCACCCAGCAGAGCCGCCACCGTCGTTAGAGGAGCGGGGCTCAGCGGAGTAACCGCCCCCGAAGAAGAGGGGGTCGGTGGAAGAGAAGATGTCGATGGAACGTCCGCCGGAAGTTCCATACGACGAAGAGAGGACGTCGATGGAATGTCCACCGGAAGTTCCATACGACGGGGAGGAGAAGAAGAAGACGAAGAAGGAGAAGAAGAAGAGGGAGAGGTCGCCTCAAGTTTATCAACCGAGTAACGACGAGAAGAAGAAGAATGTGAGGAAGAAGACATTACCTAAGTCAGGAGAGAGATCGGAGGAAGTACAGAGTGGCCGGAGAAGCTCAAAGTTGAAGCTGAGAAGAAAGACTGGAGAAGAGAATGGAAAGAGAGACGAAATGACTATTTAAAGGGGAGGAATTTCAAAGGACGGCCACGTGCCACCTTCTCGTTGGAGGAAGTGGAGGTGACGAGACGTGAAGGGACGCCGCATTTAATGCCTCAAAAGGCGGGGCGACGGTTCAGGCCTAGGGTTAGCCCACAGACGGCGCGTCTGTCCTAGGCTAGGGTCGAACGTCAAGTGACCCGGCCTGCTAAGCCGGAAGCCCGTAGTGGGCCATGGCCTCTGGGCCCATGAGATACGAGCTGGAAGCTTCTAGAACGACCCGGTAGAACCCGGCTCATCGAATGATATCAGCCGAGTTGACGAAGAGACTCCGGTAACCAGGTCGGCAATCAGACTCGGCGACTCCCTCACCAGGAGGGTCTCGCCATAGCGAGACTAGGAATCAGTCCCATAGACCAGAGGTCGGACGACAAAATACTAAGAAGATGTGGGGTCGGACAGAAAAACACACAATTTATTTAATTAGTACGAAGATTACAAGGCCCAGCACTCGGCCGATGCAAATTACAAGAGAAAAAACGAGTCAAGGCTTGGCTTCTTTCTCTGTCGACAGGCTAGCGGTCGGAGGGCCTTCCAGGAGGTACTGAGAGCGGAAAGGCAGAGGACTCGGCTCAGGCTCAGGCATTTCGTCCAGATACACGGCGGGCTTCCCGTCATCGATCATTTGCAAAGGCCTCTCCAGAGCGCTCGGCGACATGGCCACACCGAAGAGGGGAGGAGCCTCCCACTTCTCTTCCACCATTGGTTCGGGATCCTCCACCACAGGCTCCATCTCCACGTCAATGGGCTCCCTACACATCAGGTCCAGCATGTCTGGAGGCACCACGATGGGGTCTGAGGCCGAGTCGCCCACCAAACGACCTCCGTTAGCCAACCTCTTCTGCCTCAGTTGCTCCAGACGAGCATGCTCCTTGTTACGAATGGACCAGCGGCGATCACCGTCCCTATAACTCATAGCGCCGTACCTTCGCAAAGTGGAGAATGTTGCGATTTGCATCAACTGTAAAGGGCCTTTATATAGCCCAGCGAAGGCAAATACCTAGGCGATAATCGTGGAGGAGATTATAACTGACATAACTGAGCCGGATTA